TACTAAGGAGTCTGTATAGAAATTAAGACGAAATAGGAAACCACATGATCGTCTATCGTTTGTTGTTCCGTCAGTGGGGTGAGACAGCACATAATCACGCAAGTGCCCAGTCCTATCTCACTAGTCACGAAGCCTCAATTACGTCATTGATTTGGTCTGTTAGGCAGTCTGCGCACGGGTCATGCTGTCTATCCCTGAGGTGTTGTCCTACTGTGCACAACGGGCTCGCACGTCCCGTCTGGTCCGGACCTGTCGTCGGGTGACCATTCGCTCCCCTGCGTGACAGACCGCCGCCGCCGCCGATGCCGCCGCCGTCTCGGAGTCGCCGGAGCCGGAGGATGCGGCTGCCAGCCCGCGGGACCGGTCGCAGAGCCCGCCGACGCCCGCCTGTGTGGCCGCTCAGGCTGACCTGCTGCTGGAGGCCGCCTTCAGCGACACGGACGGCTGTCACCTGGCCGCCCAGATGGCCGAGGCAGGACCGGCGGCGCGCGCCGCCGCCGGCGCCAAGCGTGTGCGCCGCGCTGACGCCGCCGGCGACGTCCAGCAGTTCGCCCACTTCGAGGTGGTGAGCGAGACGGCGCGGCAGCGGGCGACGACGCGGCAGACCAAGATCACAAGCTTCATGAAGAAATGAGAGGAAGACTGTCGCGTGCTGAGCCTGCGAACGTGCCGAAGGAGTACCGGCCGGATAACGCCGTGCCGAAGGAGTACCGGCCTGATAACGCCGTGTCGAAGGAGTACCGGCCTGATAACGCCGTGCCGAAGGAGTACCGGCCTGATAACGCCGGGTCGTGACCGACCCCTGTCACCTGTACGTGGGCGGCTGAGACAGCTTTTGGCATTGGAGGCGTAGTTAGCATAGAGGCGAGGTGGAGTTTACAGCGAGAAAGGAGAGATATATTCTGCCGGATTGCCGAATCCGCAGTTACCAGCTGACGGATTGGCCATCGCGTGCAGGGTCTGCTAATCAGCACCGCACAGTAAACCACCCCGCCGCGACACAGTGATTTGATCTGTTCACGCCTTGAGTGTGCCACTTGAACGTGCATTATTTAATATGATTGTGTGTGCGGCGGTAGCTAATTTTTGACGCTGCGTTGCCTAATGTCTCGTTCTTGCATACCAATCTATATGTACTGTTGAATGACTGTACGCGATGGTCGATGAGTGATAACACTGCGCTGCTTCATGTGATGTTCTTGCATACGCACCTGTTGTATGTGGCATGCCGTACTTCGAATGTATTATGCAATAGAGAAGTGACATGCGTGAATCGAAACGTGTTTGCATCCGGAGTGGGAACTGGTGGCTTTTGTATGTCATCACTAGCCTTAACAGTGTCCGGAGTTTTTGCGCGCTTGCCTTCAAAATGATGGCACCCCTTAAAAATCGTTCAGAATTCGACTCACATTTAGTCAACACGCGTTTAAGATTTACTATGCGTTGCAATGGTCCTGCGAAATGTTGCTTTCAGCATGGTGTGACAGCCCGGTACATTATACTGATGCCATGCCGCATTCGCAGCGTAGTGTCTCTGCACGGGGGGGGGGGGGGACGAGGCTTTCAAAAGTAATATTTCCCTCAAAATGTCATATTTACGCTCTGCCTTTGTTGGAGTTGAAAGGGTATCTTTTCGGAATGGCACGCTCTCGTCGTTCCATAGAGCGGTAAGTGAGGAGGTGGTGAGGCCTAGTCGTGCAATCCCTGACATCGGAAGGATTTTTACTTGAGTCAGAGCTCGAGCCTCATCAATGCGTGCCTCGCGTCAAGTGATCAAGACGGATGCATCCTGCATCTTCATGTCTTTATTAATCCTTCCTCTCGAAGGATCTCGCCGTCTGACAGCCTCGTGAACATCCTGCGTCGTCGATGCGGTGATCGGACCTAGCTTATGTATTATAATTTCCATGACGTTCAGCGGCATGCGTAGTTTGTCGTGTCCTGCAGGTACCAGCGTCCTAAAGCGCATCGTCTTCACTCGGCGACGTCGCACCCGACCGCCTCCAGTCCGACCTCCCTCCCCAGGATGGGCAGACTGTCCGCTGACTGGCGGCCTCTCAGCTGACAGCCGCCGCGCCCGCCCGAAGGCCGTCAGACCTGCCCAGACCTGCGCGGGTGAACAACGGCACGTTGCGTGCCGCCAGGGCCGCGGTCGTGGCTCCGGTCGAGGGTCTCATCCAGATGTCATCCGTCTCTTGCGCAGCATGCGGCTGAACCGGAAGACAAGCAACAATTATCGATGACGATGTGGGAAATAATCCAACAATTAATCATTTAGCAGCCAACCCAAGACTCAGTTAATTGCCATTTCATGCCGTAACTGACAGGTTACCAATAAAATCAACGATTGATTAATTACCAATTAGTTAGATAACTGATCGGTTACCAAGTTATCTAATACTTAATTTGTTACTAAGTAACAAATCAGAAATTGCAAGCTAACGATTTTTGCTTTCTGCCTGCGAAGGGATGGTTAAAATACACCGTTGGTTGCGGAATGAAGTAAGGTGGCCAAAGAGTGTTCGATTAGAAATCGACTAGCCGGAAAGTTCGACCCTCCATTGGTGCGTGTAGGGCGCCGCCCATGGCGTGGTGAGCGGCGCGAGGTTGCGGTGCTTATGCCGCATCAAGCCGCAGGTGACGGTGTGTGGTTGGACGGTTGGATGGCCAGCAAAAATGGCCATCGGTGAACGGCGTTAAGGCGGTATCAATGGTGAGCGTTAGTGGGACGCGCCATCCATATTGGCTTTCCCGGCTAGGACGGTGGTCTGGGTCCACTGTCTACCTACGCTCTCGAAGTGCATGGACCAGCTTTATAGATGAGACTGTAGACAAGTTTCTAAGTCGTGCTATTGGCTAGTCAGCATGATCCCACGACATGAATTCGATTTGCCTCAATGTAAGTCTGGCCATCGCGCCTTGGCATACATATCAAGACATATACATTAACAGCCGTGAACCCAATCGGACAGCAGACACCTTTTCGCCTAGTTTCAGGCTCCCTCTTAGTGCTGCGATCCAAGGCCGTGACCTGCTTACGCCCGTGACCAATGCGTCATGGAACAGTTCCATCCTTCAACCGACATCATACCAGCCTTCGACATACTCTAAATGTCGTACCGAGAACGGAAGGAAAACGGAGATGAGAGACCCATTTGTAGCCAAAAACCCAAGACTAGGCTTGGATCAAGCTTTTGTTTTCATAAAGGGATTCACATCGTGGGTCACCTCGAAATCGCAACCGTACTGGAGATAGCATGTGTTGCTGACGGTATTGCAATACCATACTGGAGATAGCATGTGTTGCTGACGGTATTACAATACCGTACTGGAGATAGTATGTGTTACTGACGGTATTACAATACCGTACTGGAGATAGCATGTGTTACTGACGGTATTACAATACCGTACTGGAGATAGCATGTGTTGCTGACGGTATTACAATACCATACTGGAGATGGCATGTGTTGCTGACGGTATTACAATACCGTACTGGAGATAGCATGTGTTGCTGACGGTATTACAATACCGTACTGGAAATAGCATGTGTTACTGACGGTATTACAATACCGTACTGGAGATAGCATGTGTTGCTGACGGTATTACAATACCGTACCGGAGATAGCATGTGTTGCTGACGGTATTACAATACCGTACTGGAGATAGCATGTGTTGCTGACGGTATTACAACACCGTACTGGAGATAGCATGTGTTACTGACTGTATTACAATACCGTACTGGAGATAGCATGTGTTACTGACGATACTACAATTCCAGTGTGACCGATATTTTGTTCCTGAATCAGTATCCTCGCCAACGTTTGCTGAGTTATGTTCAATTTCCTGCACTGAATGACAAGTGTCCACCCAGCCATGGTTCTGAATCGCGCAAAAATGCAAGCGATTAGGATGAAACCGAACTCAACCAAAATCCGAATGATTCCTGTTTCGATCATGAGCCTAAATCAAGTCAAACACGAGCCAACCTCGCCGCGCGTTTGATGCTACGCCAAACAACCGGCCTTCGCTTAGTGAATGCAGGCAAGCATACTGAGGCGGATGTCCAGCGGATGAGCGACGACCACTGGAGGTGGGCCCGTTTCGAGCCGTTCCTAACCCATCCACACGATGTCCAGCCGCTGAGCCACGACCACTGGAGTTGAGCCCGTCTCGAGCCGTTCCTAACCCGTCCACACGACGTCCAGCCGCTGAGCCACGACCACTGGAGGTGGGCCCGTTTCGAGCCGTTCCTAACCCATCCACACGACGTCCAGCCGCTGAGCCACGACCACTGGAGGTGGGCCCGTTTCGAGCCGTTCCTAACCCATCCACACGATGTCCAGCCGCTGAGCCACGACCACTGGAGGTGGGCCCGTCTCGAGCCGTTCCTAACCCGTCCACACGACGCCGCGTCCCAGGGTTCGGCCGTCGAGACCACCCACAGCACTGACAGAGGAATGGTCCAGTGCAGACTGGGCCCATCGTCCTGCGCGTGGCGCCGCTGACCGCCGGCCGGGGCCAGACCGGGCCCACGTGGGTGGCGGCCGCCTGGACAGAAGCCGGCACCGACCCGTGTGTATTGACATGGCGTCGCTGTTTATTGTCAGAGGCGATAGGCGGCGCTGCGCGCTCTCTGTCAGAGCTGCGGGGAGAGGCAACAAAGGACAAGGCTTAAGGGGCGGCGCCCTCGCGTTCATACGGCATTCGACGCCAGCGCGCCTCGGCGAGGAGATCTGCTTCCCGGGGAACAGCCGTGTACCGACCGCTGCATCGGGGGCGTCAGCACCCTCTCTGCTTTCCTGGGTGAAGTGGAAGGGAAATTGAAAGTGGTGCCGCCACACTAGGCTGACGATGCGGGCGGCGGTGGTGGCTCTGCTGCTGATGACGGCGGCAGGCTCAGTTCTGGGCCGCGTCACGGAGACATCGCTCCCTGCCGGAGCGGAGGCGATACTGGAGCAGCCAGGCCCTCAGGGACGGGCGTCCGAAGGCCGGCCTGCTGGTGAGCGTACCGCGGGCCGGATGGCGCCGCCACCGAGCGCCCCACCGCGCCCGGCGCTGGCCAACGGCACGGCCACATGCGCCGGCTCGCTGTTCCGCTGCGACGACGGCCGCTGCATCGAGTGGGCGCTCGTCTGCGACGCCTCGCCCGACTGCCGAGACGGCTCGGACGAGGCGGCTTGCCAGCCTCGCCGGCGGCCGCGCAGGGGCGTCGGCGGCTGCACTGACAAGGAGTTCCGCTGCCTGGACGGCACGTGCATCGAACGGTGCTACACGTGCGATACGCGGCCCGACTGCCCCGACGGCTCAGACGAGCACGCGGACCACGGCTGCGCCCTGCTCTGCGGACCAGGCGAGTTCCGGTGCGACAACAGGTGTCTTCCGAACTCAAAGCTGTGCGACGGTGTGAGGGACTGCATCTTGGGCAACGATGAAGTCGGATGTCCGACGCTACCGCCGCCGCCTCCGCCGCCGCCATCGTTCTGCACTGACAAGGAGTTCCGCTGTCTGGACGGCACGTGCATCGAACGGTGCTACACGTGCGATACGCGGCCCGACTGCCCCGACGGCTCAGACGAGCACGCGGACCACGGCTGCGCCCTGCTCTGCGGACCAGGCGAGTTCCGGTGCGACAACAGGTGTCTTCCGAACTCGAAGCTGTGCGACGGCGTGAGGGACTGCATCCTGGGCAGTGACGAGGTCGGGTGTCCGACGGCGCCCACGGTAGCGCCATGTTCCTACTACGAGTTCCGGTGCGACGGGCGATGCCTGGACAATGGGAGGCGCTGCGATGGAAGGAGGGACTGCTCCGACGGTTCTGATGAAAGGGGATGTCGCCCCACCACCACAACCCCAAGACCTTGCTCGTATTACGAGTTCCGTTGCGACGGAAGATGTTTGGACTTTGGGAGACGTTGTGATGGAAGGAGAGATTGTTCCGACGGCTCCGACGAAAGAGGATGCCGTCCCACCACCACAACCCCAAGACCTTGCCTCTATTACGAGTTTCTTTGTGACGGGAGATGTCTGGATCTAGGGAGGCGTTGCGACGGAAGAAGGGACTGCTCCGACGGTTCCGATGAAAGGGGATGCCGTCCCACCACCACAACCCCAAGACCTTGCTCGTATTACGAGTTCCGTTGCGACGGGCGATGTTTGGACGTTGGGAGACGTTGTGATGGAAGGAGGGACTGCTCTGACGGCTCCGACGAAAGGGGATGTCGTCCCACTACAACAACCCCAAGACCGTGCGCAAGCTACGAGTTCCGTTGTGATGGGCGATGCCTGGACACCAGCCATCGCTGTGATGGCGTGCCCGAGTGCTCGGACGGCTCCGACGAGCGAGGATGCCCGGAGCCGCAGCCGGTGACCGGCTGCGCCGACAACGAGTTCCACTGCCTCAGCGGCGAATGCATCGACAGCTGCTACATGTGCGATGGCCGCAAGGACTGCGCCGACAACTCTGACGAGTCGCACCAACACGGCTGCTCGCGTTTAGCGCCGTGCGCGGGCAGCGAGTACCGCTGCGACGACCGCTGCATGCCGGCCGAGACACTCTGCGACGGCAAACGGGACTGCTCCGACGGCCACGACGAGCGGGACTGCTGAGACGGCCACGACGAGCGGGACTGCTGAGACGGCCGCGACGAGCGGGACTGCTGAGACGGCCGCGACGAGCGGAACTGCTCCGACGGCCACGACGAGTGGGACTGCTGAGGCGGGTCGCGACTAGCGGGACTGCTGAGGCGGCCGCGACGAGCGGGACTGCTGAGGCGGCCGCGACGAGCGGGACTACTCCAACGGCCACGACGAGCGGGATTGCTCCGACGGCCACGACGAGTGGGACTGCTGAGACAGCCGCGACTAGCGGGGCTGCTGAGGCGGCCGCGACGAGCGGAACTGCTCGGACGGCCACGACGAGCGGGACTGCTGAGGCGGCCGCCGCCCGGCGGCGATAGTCGGCGCTGGGCGCGGTGCACCGCCGCGGGCGATGCAGCTTTCTGGGAAGAGATCGTAAATCAGCTAAGAGGTGACAGCATTGTAACGCACCCATGCCCATACTCCACTGGCGGATGGACCTTCGGGGCTCGGGGGCCGGCAAGACTGTGGACATGGCAACGATCGCCTGCCTTTCTGGTGGGGAGCTGGTTTGTTGATCCGAAAGCATCGTGCGACTTTATTTGGTGCGGTGCCTCCTCTTAGCCGCAACTGGCAGAGCGCGGCGACTAAGCCGTTGCGTTTCTTTGCCATGGCCCCGTGCATATTGCCACATATGTTGATGCGAGTCAGTGTGCCTTGATGACGTGTCTCAAAAAGGCACTAGTCCGGAGTTCGAGGTCTATTTGTTTGTGAGACGGAACTTGTGCGGATGATTCTGCCGCGGGACTGGGTGCATTGTCATTAGTGCGGGGAGATGTCTTGTTTTTCTCAAAATATACGACAAAATACGCCAGCCCCTCTATTTGAGTGGGAGTCTCAGAAGGGCCTGAAATCTCGTAAACCGCGCAGAACCACGTTGGAAGCCAAACCAAGGTAAACCACGCAGAACACGGCGTTGGAAAACCCTCGTCAAAGAACATCAGGCCGGTGTCTGAACAGAAGTGGATGTGATATTTCACAGGTCAAACCAAGCCAAAGGGACCAACTGACACTCTAAAGGCCCCTCCCTCCTTCCAACTAAAAAGTAACTAAAAGACTAAACATGCTTTGACCATGCGGAAGAGTGCGCTGAATAGCAGAGCGGAGGGACAACGCCAAAGGCCTCTGACGTCTCAGATTTGCTGGAGATACCCTGGTGTTCTCGGAAGTTCCTGGTGGCTTCGAGGGCACTTAATGTCCCTGGCCCACATGCTCCGACGTAAACACATCGAGTGTGGTGCCTTGCACATTTCGGGTCTCTTTCAGTCCCTCACTGTCTCAAAGAGCCATCTATATTTCCCGTCTGTGTGAGCTCCTCGAGAGGTATTTTGTCTGTTTTTTTTTTGGTCGCCCTTATACCACTGTTTCCATTTAAATGGATGACAATGCCAACTCTGAGTTACAGTACGAGGATACACGCCGGGCTTTTGGTCACATCCCCAGAACCATCGGCGTACACACGCACCAAACCCCAAAATAAACGTTTCTCTCATCGCGAGCTGCTTCTCAAGTTTCAAAGATCGGTCAAGGCCGTGGGATACAAGGGATGCTCGTCGGTGCCGGAGCCGCATACGTTGGAAGGAAATGCGGGAAATGACAACGCCTTGGTCCACAGTAATGCAGTAGAAGGACCCTGTCAGCCACGAACCCCAGTGCCGAACTGGGGCCCGTTTCAACCGGGGCTTCGCTAAGTCGAACTGTGGCTCGTATGCGTGTTTAGGTGGCATGTTTTATTGCCACAATTTTTCCCGAACTTTTTTGAGAGGCTGAATTTGAGACCGGAACTCAAGCAAGCCAAGGTCGTTTTGTGTGCACTGGACTCCAAATTCTTATCGTGAAATTCAATTATACGACAGAACTTTGTGGATCAAAATTATATCGTGCGATTGAACGACGGCTGCTGCCACGGACCGCGGACTATCCAAGTCAGGGGCCAAAGGGCGAGCACATGTAGACACAGCCAAGAGAGGACCTTGACGCCCTCGCCTGACCCGCCCAGCCCCTACACCTTAGACCCGCATTTTCCTTTCAGTACCATAAAATAATAGATGGCTCCTGCCAACACAAACAGAAGCGTGATGAGTTCTCACTAAGCTACCTGCCCTCCCACCCTACTTACATTACCCAGGTTGTGTCCCTGCGAGAGCAAGTGGCGACAGGAGCCCCACTGGGGGTTAAATCCCTCCCCCCCCCCACTACCATAATACCACACATGGCGGTATCATACAGCCACCGGTGGACTGAGATCGGCAGGGGCTGGTACCGACCGTGCTACGGAAGGCGACAAGTCGTGCTTATCGTTATGTTTTAAATGACTTTGGTAATAGTTATAGCATACCGCTCCAACGGCACTCTGACATTTTAACACTCATCAGGGGAGCAGTTTAGGGAGGGGCACGGGTGACCCAGCCCGCTAAGGCACATATTTGTTTCGCCATACGAACCTCCCGACAAAAAGTGACGACGTGGTGCGTGCTCAGCGAGCTCCAGGCCCCTTCCATAAGAAAATACCGGCTCCGCCCCCGGCCTTCATGTCTGGTCGGTTTCCCGGACCAGACCAGACATAGACTCACACCACTGGTGGCAAATCAGATATTTTTGGTGGTGTGACCTTTTTGGCTTGCTGATTCGAGCGGTGATAAGGTTATGCGTTTTTGGCGATGGATGAGGCCAGGAAGCGCATTCGCCAAATCCGGGGAGCAACTCGTTTGTTGGCGTGATTTTGTGGCAGACTTTTTCACCCCCGTATTGTCATTGTTGAGCCTCCCCGACTATTCTCACTTTGCGAAACTGCGCCCCTGATGTGCTCACTCTGGTTGTACAATGAACTGTGTCCCATTTCAACTGGAAACACAGAATTGTCAGTCATGCTTAAACTTCTTCAGACATCCACAAATAAACTGGAACGAATGCTTCCACGACAGTGACAACAGACTTTTACCGGAAGTGCAGGTTGCCGGCCCGCGGCCCCCCCCCCCCCCGTCACCCGCCCGACCAGCGCGCCACCGCACGTTTGCCACTCAGTCTGAGCCCGACAGCGGCGCCGGCGAGCCCGTGTGGCTCTCTGACGACAGGCTGGCCAGAGCGGCGCGCGGTTCCGTCCCGTTCAAGACGTCGAGCGCGGCGGCAGGGGCGGCACCGCCTCGGCAGAGCCGGCAGCGCCGCCCCCTCGCTGCTGCACAAACAAGCGGCCGGCCGAGCCGCGTGTGATCGACAGGCCGCCGGCGCCCGCTCCGCTGACGGCCTGTCATCGCGGCTGTGTCCGGCTGGCCGTCTGTCTGCGCCCGTCCGCCGTCTGTGGGCAGGGTGGTCCAGCGGGCGCGCGTGAGGTCGAATGGAACGCGAGCGCTCCCTGTGGCGGGTCCCACCGACCGGCCGAGGCGGCTTGCTGGGGCTCTCCGCCCCGGGCGCTTCTCGTTTCTGCCCGGCGTCCACAGATGGCGTGTTCCATACCGACACATCCGCTGTCAGCGGCGCCACAGACCGATTAGCATGGGATATTTGGAAAGAAAACGCTGAATGGGCACAATTTCCATTCCAGAAACATGTCCGACATCCCCTTGATCCATGAGTTTTTTCAAGGCCTGCAATGATGGAAATAACAATGCTGGATGGCATTCAAGAGAAACTGAGACAAAGTTGGAGCCTGGCGACACGTGGCACGGTTTTTGATGAACGTCTCCATGCAAAATCATCGCATTGCCCCCTGTGAACCATCGCATTGGGGCTTCTAACACAAGCACCCTTAGGAATCAGTGTGTTAGGTTTTCCAATCAACATGTATGCACTCTTACTAACGAGCACTCAATTTCCCTAGCCTCCGCGCCGCAGTCCGACCGGATATACACCGACCGCTGCACGGCCGACACAAGTTAGCTCAGCGAATACATCACATGCAAATACCACACACTAAGTACAGTTCATTGCGCGCGCGCACGCACACACATCGCTGAGCTTTCGATACAAGCTAGTCCATTGAACACATCATGCAAACACCGCCATTAACGACGCAAGTTTGGACTCTCCCTGCTTCAGTGCACATGTAGATGCCTGAACAAGCCGACAAATGAGGCAAGAGTAGAAGGAATGGGATGGACACAGGGTGCCGCGAACTCACGGTAAACCGCATGATATCCCGGGCAAGACCAAGTTCGCATACACCGCACACCCCTTCGGAGGAATGTGTCCTTGTCGTTGCAGACGTCTCCACTGCGCGGCGGGGGCACGCCGGCCTCCTTTTATTGTGCCGCCATCAAGAGACGGGAGATTGGTGGATCTGCTAAGGGGTGTCCGCACTCACCGCAGCCGGCAGCACCGCCTCCAGGGGGCTGGCGCGCCAGCAACCCGCCACGACTCCAGAGGAAGCCGGCCAACCCACAGGAATGACGGTAACGTGACAGGAGCTATATGAGGCATGGACATACCCGCGGCGCATTCCCGGCGCGCCAGTCCGAACAACACCGGACGAGTTAGGAGTGGTGCGGTGCCACTCATGCGAGTTGAGCATGTTCAGCATGCGAGTCTGAGGCGTCGGTCCCAGTCGCGAAAGGAAAACGGAGCATGAGAAGGGAAATGACTACTCGCGCGCCCACGAGACAAGCAACTGGCCAACCAGTTTTGCACTCCTGACTAGGATGGATGATAAAGCGGACGGAAGTACAACATACGTGACGAATGGCAACCCAACTCTCCCCCCCCCCCCCCCCCCTTCCCCTGCCGTGAACAGCAGCCAATACTGGAAAAAGCCAGCAAAACGTGTCTATCAAACGGCACACGTCGACATAACAGATGAGTGTCATCATGGTCAGCAACAGACTAAGTATGCACTCAAAAAACGATACCTTTTCTTTCTCGTCTTTTTCATACAGAGACAGCCAGCCAACTGTGGCCGATCCGATGGCACTGAAAGCGATCCCCGATCACAGATCCTGACATGTCTCCTACCCATGTAGGGACAAACACGTGAAACGAAATATAATAATATGCCGGCAATACACATCCTTAATGGAGGCCACACGACCACCTAATGAGAAGCCCCATTGCACCGCGCCCAAGAACGCAGCTGAACCAGCCCGCCGCATTCGCAGTATGCCACTGTTGATTGGTGCCTGACTGATGCCAGGAGACGGTTAAAGGTGCTGATTGCGTCCTACCGTGCCTCCAGAACACACAAATGACTAGAGCGGCAACGTTGGCTCACTGTCCGTGAGTCACAGCAATGTCTGCAGAGCCGCAGCAAATTGGTGCCAACGAATATCCTGTTTTTACGGGACAGCTAAAAGTCGCTGCTGGTCACAGGCAGACACGTAACAGAAGGTCGACACTGGCTTGGCCGGACTGCGCAGTCCACGGTGATAACAGCGTGGTCAGACAACCGACAAGCCTCGTCAGCTGTGTGTATGCCCTGCTCGCTTCTCTGAGAACGTCAAATAGGTCGCACGTTAAAACGGCACCCACATGATTACTAGAAAACGACACTGATACACTTCCAACGGCAAGCCTTTCAAGTGGTACATAGCCTGTCGCGCGTTGTTACCCAATGGAACGGCCCACACCGGGCCAGACGCGGCTTGATGCTCCATCCTCCCAGCAGTTGACTACTGATGCACAATAGTCGTGATACACAGTACACGCCGTACCGGCTCGAAAATCACGCAAAGTTATCTTAAACTGGGGTTACGCACCTTCCCAACCTTGGGACAAACCACAGATATTACGGGCGCGTTTCATGCTTCGGATTACGTGATATTGGGACCATGACAAATTTTCGAGGCCGCATTCAGCAATCTTATGATCGAATACCATCATCATGAATCGAACATAAATGGATCTTTGAGACCAAAGAAAACGCCACGACGTGACTGAAACCGGTGTTGCTGCTGAAACGTGAAACATTTATGCAATGTTACGGACAATTATGACTCAATTATGCAATGATACGGACAACCGGAAAAATCAATTTGCATGTTCCGTTCAGTTTCATTCCTTGGCGTCGAAGCAGCCGAACAAATTATGGGGCTTCGCAAGAAATCCAACACTGCGAACGCGTTCTGGATGATGCTCTCCCTGTGATTGATGATATGATGTGTCAGCGCACTGAGCTCTGAACAGCCCGGCTGGCGATTGTCCTCCCGCTGGCGTGGTCCTAACAGCGACGGACGGCGACTCCCGGAGCCCCGGTACAGCCACCCCACCGCGCTCGGCTCCGATGGACACTGAAGCTGTGCGCCGTAACAGCCACACCGAAATCGGCCCGAGGAGCGTCACTGGCGTCCTGCCGTGACCCGATGTACGCTGCCAAAGCCCTTCTGAGCTCAACGACAACGACGGGTCAAGCTCGCGTCGCCTGCTGCTGCCTGGGAACACCACTGAGGTGCTACTGCCCGGTGCCGGGGTAGGATGGCGGCGGGTCTGCAACACAGACAGCAACAGTGAGTGACACAAACCCGCCACAGTCGATACCACAACGGATCAATCGGTACCGCTGCACCGGATTGATCGATACCAGCCTAACGGATCAATCTGTACCGCCATAACGGATAAATCGGTACCGCCATAAGGGACCAACCGGTACCGCCATAACGGATCAATCGGTATCGCCATAACGGATCAATCGGTACCGCTATAACGGATAAATCGGTGCCACTATATCGGATCAATCGGTACCGCTATAACGGATCAATCGGTACCGCCATAACGGGTCAATTGGTATCGCTATAACGGATCAATCGGTACCGCTGTACCGGACCGGTCGATACCAGCCTAACGGATCAATCTGTACCGCCATAACGGATCAATCGATATCGCCATACCGGATCAATCGGTACCGCTATAACGGATCAATCTGTACCGCCACAACGGGTCAATCGGTATCGCTATAAGGGATCAATCGGTACCGTCCAGCCGGAACCACAGAAGCCGTGCTGTGAGGCGAGAAGCTGGATGCAAAGCTGCGATATTCTTTCTCTGACCCAACAGCACTGGACATTGCTGATCTAAGAATGCATTGCGTAACAATCGCATTGTCGACGCGAACTGTGCTCTAATTTGTATGATGCTATCTGTCAGTATGTCTGTTTAACGCATCATCTCAGAAGTTGAGTATTCTCCAGCAACATAAGGCTGCCTACAATATATCCGTAAGAAAAGGCTTCAGCCCACGGTTTAAGGGAATTATGAGCCAAGACCTCTTATGCTGAGTTATCGGCACTTAGTATTCCTGAAGGTACTGGTTAAGGGACGTCATAGAGCACGTCTAACCATATTGTCAATACTCGACGCTTCGAGTCGTGCTTACGCTCACGGTCCCGTACCTCAAAGCACCGCTTCAAACGTCGAACATTCCCAACATAATCAATATTTGCTTCAGAACGTCGTTTCACCAGTACCTAATGCCATTTGAATATCGATAACTCCGCATGGGCACTTTGAATTCATCGAGTACCTTAACTTGTACACTGCACGATGATGCAAACATCAGTTACAATATTTAAAGCACGCAGGATGTTCTGCGCCAGTAATGGTATTTCAGCTCACCTGACTTGGAGCTGCTAGCACCGCACCTAAAAACGTCAGGGTAGGTTAGCAGCCAACACCAGGTGGTCCGAGGGTGTTGGCGCGCACCACAAACACGACCTTTGGGGATGCCCAGTTCGCTCCCACACACCGTCGCGGATGGGCCAGACGCGTCGAGCAGGGCGGGCACGTCACTGACATCACTCCCGTTCGCGGATTGGGCAGAGATGGTCTTATGATTGGTACTGTCTCCTTATCCTGTGACGAACTGTCGGCGTCGATGAGCAACCAGTCACGCCTGAAGCGCCATTTCTGGAGGTTTGAACTCGTACTCAGAGCAAGCCTACGCTTCACACCGCCTCACAGGCCAAGCAGCTCGCTGCTAACTCCACTAACGCCCCCCCCCCCCCCCCTCCTCCCCGGCACAGACGTCTGTGCAGGAGCTCGGCTCACCCCATGCGAATGTTGGAGCCGCTCTGCCAGGGCGCGGGGCCGGCCGGCGGCGGGAGGTGGGGCGCCCAGCCAGGTCCCGGCCCTGGCCCCCGGCCTCGGCTCCAGCTCCGGCGCCGAAGGGTACCCACTGCCTGCTGGGGCGCGACAGCGGGTCACAAACAGCCCACCGTCACCGGACGCGCGGCCGGCAGGCGCCCCTGCACGACCAGCAGCCGACATCCGGTGACGTCGATCGCCAAACCCTCGCGGAAACCACTATCCTGGCCGCCACATGACGCCAGAAACTGAGCCTGAACTCTGCGCGAGCGCCGCAAACGCTCACGCAGAGTTTGGCGGTGGATCGAAACACGATCAAAAAAGGTTGAAACATCCCACCTAAGCGCCAGAACGACAGTACTCTAGCGATATGCTGATGACTTATCACTTAAATTTCATTCCAAGGTAGCAAAGCACCGCCAAGTAAGACGTAGCGTGCCGTTTTTCTAGATTTTACCGCATGTGAGTTTTTCAGAGCTGGACGGTACCGGGGCTGACCAGAGCACCTGCATACCTTGCGCATAGCCTGTGGCCGCCGCTACCAGTGCCCCCGGGGCGGTGTCCGGGTCGTGCGCGTGTGCAGGCGGCGGCGGATGCACCCGATAGCCGCTATCGTAGCCGGCAGCGGGCGGCGGCGGTGCGGCCGTCTGCGCCGAGCGCGCCGGACCCAGAGGAGCGCCGTTGTCTGGAACGGTCACGTCGAGGAGGGGGAGTCAGGCGTGGCGGTGGCAGCAGTCGGGCGAGCGGCGAGAAACGCTGGACGTGATAGCACGGCAGCAGACCCGGACAACTCCGCATAACTTCACGGACGGACAGCTTCCGTTGGACAGATCTGGGAGGGCGGCAGGCCCGGACACCGAAGCGGGGCCTCACAGACGGACCCCTTGCTCTGGGCAAACTGGCGAGCCAGGCGGACAACGGACCCCGACGATACGCCCGGGGACCTAACCGGACAACCAGCAGCCGGCGGGTGGCCGGTGACGTGGCTCACTGGTGCGTACGACGCGTCCCCGCCTCCTGAGCCAGCGGTGGACAGGGCAGCACGTGCAGAAGTAGCAGCAGACCAGACTGCCGACGGCCACCAGCAGCACAAGGCCGCCGGTGATGGTGTGCAGTGCCAGCAGCACCCTGGCATCGGAGACGCGTCAGACGGTGCTCAGCAACCGCACGCAAGGTGGCCGGGAGATGGGGCAGCCAGGAGCTGGGCCAGGTGACATGGAATCTAGACAGGCAGCCAAAGGTGGGAGGGCCTGTGGGTGTCACAAGATGGATACAGATATTTACTGGGTATTGCTTGTTGCATGGACACTTGCCCTGCTCACCAAACACTGTTGACTATGATGATTCTGCTGCATCTGACTGGCTAAAGAAAACTTAGTGACCTTCATCACCCAATGCCATAACAGGGCTGAGCCTGCATGCATTCTCATTGCCCAGGAAACATGATGCCTGATGTAGGAACAAGTTATGCAATGGTGTGCATGGATGGCCAATACCTCAGCCACTCAATGTGAAATGAGACAGACCAGGGCATGCCAAATGCAGAAAGTGACCAAACATAGAACCATATCACACAGATGAAGATAAGATGCCCACACACTTGATGTGACAACCCAACATCACAGAGCAGCAAGCATCAAACTGCATTTCCATAAATAAACTTTGGCTTTGTACCCATGTTGCATTATCAAGAGGATCCTGGGACATTGTGTTGTAATCTGACTTTGTGCAGCACTGTAGTGTTTCTCCTGAGCTGCAACAGTAGCTCCTGTCTCGTGCCTCCCATGAGTCACTGGCAAAAGCAATGGAGCTCCTTAGTCACTGACAGCAAAGTTATGGGAGAACAAAACTGCATGGCTCCTGCAAAAGATAACAACTTTAACACAGACAATATGACAAGCAAGACTTGTACTATTGTCTTGTATTGTGCTATTGTAACTGTACTGCACCTCACTCAGGCAACCAGGTTTGCACTGGCTTCACCTGGGAGGTCATCACAATGCCTCAAGTAAAAAACCCAAAATGAAAACTAACTTCCAAAGGGCCTAGAGCCTTTCTATCATAGAGCAACAGCATAGCTGGCGGGGACAAAGTGGCCGGTCAGCCCATTGTTAAATCTCACTTAAGTCTCAAAGTTTCCAGCCTTGGGCTGCACTTGGAGACTGCACAACCTCCATTGGAATTTGGATTCCTTAGCTTACTGAAATGAAGCATTAGTACAAAATCAGTCAGTTCCTTCAGTAATTGTCAACCTGATGTCTGCCCTTGTCGAACTGTACACCCCTCAGCCAAACTCTTAGCAAATACAATGCAAGAATGGCTGTGATATACATCAATTATCATCTGTCATGGTTTTTCTTCTATAAAAGGAGGCGAGCTACTTAAAAAAACAGCAAGGCCAAATGATGCCAGGCTTCATGAGAGACTCCCGCTGCCGGCGGTGTTCCAGGATCATGAAATGTACCATTGCTATGTACAAATGGGCCAAATCCTGGAAACTCAAACAGTCATAAGCATGACCATCACTGGCTTAGCACTCGCCAACTGATTTACGATTACGTCACAAAGCCTAAAAGTTACACCAACCTTTCAATAGTTCCGCGCAGGACCACACGAGACCGGACGTGACCAGGCGGAACTGGACCCCGCCGAACAAGACCGGACTGTGATTAAACAGGACAGGATGGAGCCGGGTAGCACGAAATGAAACCAGACGGACCGGACGGGCCGGATGGGATCAAAAGAGCTCCGGAAGGGACAGAGTCAAACCGGACGGGATCAGACGATGTCGGACGCAATCGGACGCGGCCGACGTAAATCAGACGAAGTGGAATGGGACCAGACGGCAACGGACGGCGCTTGGTGGAGCGTTATGAACCCAGACGTGGTATGGGACCGTACAAAACCGAACTGGATAAGTCTGGACGGGACTGGATGGAACCAGATTATGAGACCAGATAGAAGATGGGACCATGCAGCACCGGACGGGACTAGACGGGACTAGATGTCCAGTCCGTCCGGGTCCGTCTGATCTCGTCGACGGGATCAGAAGGGCCCCGTCTAGCCACACTCGATCCCGTTCTGTCCCGTCCCGTTCCTTTTACCTACGTCCCTCCAGATATGATTAGATCCCACCGTGCGTCAGTTTCTGTCTGGTCCCGTTGGGCTAGTCCAGTCCCATCCCATCCCAGGTCCCGTCCACCTTCATCTGGAAACAAAGTTTGCAGACCCTTGAACTGACCTTGACATTTCCTGTCGTTCTGATTTCTCATATTCGGCTCATTAAAGCTAAATCCATGATGTATTTTCGTTTGCGCATATTTTGTTCATATTAGACGATTGGATTGCGAGAAAGCATGGTGGCACCTTCGTCTTCCGGCTTTCCTGCAAGAGGCGCTTGGCTAGGGTGCCAGCCAATTACGGAATGCTAAGTTTTGAAGCCGATATCATGACCTGACTGGGAAAAAAATGTATATCTATACCAAACAAAATGTTTACGGGCTTGCAGTCTCAAACTGTTTCAAAAGCTTAGCAAATAGCGGTATACATGTATCAGCAGTTCACCATTACGGGCCAAATAAGCTTATGACGTCATTATTCGAGTCAGCGGAATTCGGGTGGACGATTATCCTTTCAGTTCCAAGGCCTTGCACCGTTATTGCCTTCACCAGCCTTGGCGTACACCACCCCGCACGCTGTCTGGAGGGTCGCAGGGGCTGTTTGTGGACAACGTCGAGATAGTTGGAAGGTTAAGACCAGGAACCCGATAGATCTCACTCCAGCAGTTGCCGTGTGGAGCTCAATTCCTTGAGGCGTGACTGGCTGGCCGCCTTTTTATGTTATTGTTGAAGAATACCTGGACGGCGGCGGTGAACGTTCGGGATTTTTCGTGAACCACTTGGTGGCGAATGAGAAAGCTAAAAGCTTAGGTGTATCTTTGATATAGTGAAGGTACCATTGAATAGCTAGACGTTTGGGTGAACACATTTCCAAACAGGATGTAAGTTATTTAGACTGGCCAGTATTGATGTGTACTGTACCTGGTATATGTGTGTAGTTCATAGTATCATCAAATTTCTGTTCAGCATATTTGATTATATGCATGTCATGTTTAGATTAATTCCACTATGCACATTGTGATGCCATTTATCTTGTATGTATGTGTATTGCTTGTGGTAGCTGTTAGCAACTCAATATATATTTAAGAAATTTTCAGAAGTCCTGATTGCTGTGAAACTGAGAATGTCCATGGAGCTTGACTTGACTGTCTATTTGTTTCAGATATGAACACCATTGAGCTTGGGATATTTAACATTTCACATGCTGTTCTCTCACTTCCTTGTGTGATCTTAACCACTGCTGATTAAAATTTGCTATGTACCTACCAGCAGGTTTTCACCTCCAAAAGTACATTCATTGCCCAGTCAAAAATGCTGATGATCCACAGCATGACTGCCAGCAGCAGTCCATTGCACCTTTAGCCCTCATCAATGTTCTATGTTGAATTGTTCCTTTCATTATTCTAGCTAATTGCGTGAAAAGGCCAGCTGTGTCAGGCCTCGTCTTTCCTCGCCCCATCTGGTAGATAATGGAATTTGCTGCTGGTGTCCATGTTTAAAGGTGTGTTATTTCCTAATCCACCACAAAAATGTTGAGCACAAAGATGAATGGGGAAAAGGCTGTAATAATGCAGACAACAAATCATGTCAAGTGGCTTTTGGCTGGTATGGCTAATGCCAGGGCAAGGCCTAATTTGCTGTCATATTTTTAAAAGGGCCTAATTGCTATTGTACCTTTCATATGATGGCCTTTAGGTCTTTCTGTCCTTGTACAGCAGACACAATTTTGATAATTATGCTGGTTATATGGGAGGGAAGCTCTTTCTATTGCACCAGTGACTTTATTGTTTTGTGTTCCATAGTTGGGAGCAGAAGTGTCAGTTTACTGTTTTGTTGGAAATTGCTGGGGATGAAGCCATTTGGGAACCAAGTTTCCTCATCCAAGAAAACTATTGCACCAACTTGCTTGTTAGATCTCATAACCCCAGTCACAGTAGTTATCACTTTAAAATGATAATGCCTAGCAAATTTCATTTTGATTTCTTGTTTGGGACAAGTAAAATAATTTGCTTCTGAAAGGCCTGCACCATATATTCACCTTTCATGCTGCCCATGTCCATGCAAAAGGCAAGTACTTTGAAACCATTATGCATCATTAACAGACAGCTTGTCAAAAAGGGAGCAAAGAAAAGAATGTGCTGTATGCTGAATGCATAGTGCCTTGAGTTTACAGACCTTTGCTTCAGCACATTCTCAAAAAATGATTGTTAAATAGGCTCAGGTCCTGAAGCGCAGATTGGCGGAAGTAACCAGTATTGTTAAATAGGCTCAGGCTCCGAAGCGCAGTGTGGCAGAGGTAACTGGTATCGTTAAATAGGTCCAGGCCCCAAGGCACAGAGTGGCGGAGGTAACATGTTCATCAGTCCGGGTGGACAGGTAAAGCCGTGCTTGTTGGAAATGTCAGATCCAGAGATGAGCTGCGCTGATAACTGCTTTAAGGACGAGTAAAAGCCCTTGACAATAGCTGCTTTGGTCGGCCCTGAAAAGCTTTTCATTATCTTTTTAGGTGATCATTTATCTTGTGTTGGTATCGTTAATGTTTTTGGCTGGGAGGGGACTGTCTGAGGCTTCATAGTTCACGTACTAAGTCTATCGGCCATATCAACGTATTCTGTATTTATCAACAACGGTGTGCGGTCGATTGGCCACTGTCCTGAGGAAAATATTAGGTCGGCATATGACACGCGACTGGTGACGTCACAGGTCATTCCAAATGCCTCGCAGATCCCAGTCAACGTCAAATAATCTCGGGTCCCATGACACCTGCAATAAGGATCGCTTAAACGAGGTTTCCTTATTTGTATGGGGTGTTGGTCCGAAACAGCCATCTTAAAGATCATTCGGCGCAGTTCACATCACTACCCTTAATACCTTAACCCTTCTAGTGTCTGGGCTGTACGCCCGCGAAGATTTGCCGACCGTTTCGGGAAGACAAGTTCATTCAGGCATCCATGACGCCTCAACAACGTCATGCAAATTCTGCTGTTCCACTGGGCGTGCGGCGATCAAGGCCAAGAAAAAACGAACAATTGTCGATCCGTTTATATCTGGTGTTCGTGAGCACGATTCCCGGGTATAACGACCGGTCGTCAATTGACACTTAATCAAGATAATGCAAGGTGCGATGACGTGATCAAACAGTGACTTATTGTGGGGCATATCTACTGAAAAGAGAACATCGCTGTCCATAGCAGTCCTTTCCACTTGGAAAGTGTACCAATAATTAGTGAGCTTGCTTCATCACATCTGATGCTCGCGTAGATATCTTCAAATATGGAATATTCCCTTTAGATGGAATGATTCACTTTGAAACCTGCACCGAAAGAAAGAAATGTAATTTAGTTATTATCACACTACAACGCCTCTGCAATGCTGGGGAAGTGAATGATCAATTTGTTTACGGATCAGGCCATGGTCACGATAAGCAGTTTTGTATCATTTCGTAGCGTGCACTGTCTCGCGACCTTTTGACCTGTGCTGACCGATTTGGCAGTCATCGGTCTGGAGAATGTGTCCGAACAGTGGATCGTTTTGTCACGAGCTGCACAGATGTGTAACCTTACGTGACGCTTTTTAGTGACCGGAATCGTTTTGTTGCCTTATGATTGCTCCAGACACTCGGAATTCAAACCGACTGAAGCCTCACGCCAATGAAATCTCAGTAACAGAGTGTAACTCGCATGGCTTCTGATAGTGGCCTATGCAGCTTCGTGAACCTTCATTAGTGGCGTCTTGTCCGTGATTGGCGTGAAAGCGGACAACGATGAAAACCCAGCGTGGTTATCACACACATTTTGAAAAGAATTTGGACTCCAGCGTCAGACCTTCCATAAAATGTACCATGTTTAAAGAGATTGCTGGGCTTGATTTAAAATAAACAAATGAAGCAGGGCTACTGGCCGCTCACAGCGTCTCAAGATACCTATGGGCGTGCTCTGATGGCTCTGCAGATACCGATGCCAAATTGCGTTGGAAAAGGAAAGTAAACCAGTGGTCTCTCCCTTGCATCATCTTCATCAGTGCCAATTTGGGACCTATCTGGCGGTCGCGGCGCCGGCACCGCTGAAGGCGGTTGACGCTCCCAGCGTTGTCTGCTGCCCTGTCCCCGGCTGTTCCAACCGCCGCGAAGGTTCGAGCCGGACCGATCTCTGCACTGGTTCCGGTCAGGCCGGTCGCTGTGCTGGCTCCGGTGAGGCTGGCCGCTGTGCTGGTTCCGGTGAGGCTGGCCGCTGTGCTGGCTCCGGTGAGGCTGGCCGCTGTACTGGCTCCGGTGAGGCCGGCCGCTGTACTGGCTCCGGTGAGGCTGGCCGCCGTACTGGCTCCGGTGAGGCTGGCCAATGTACTGGCTCCGGTGAGGCTGGCCACCGTACTGGCTCCGGTGAGGCTGGCCGCTGTACTGGCTCCGGTGAGGCTGGTCGCTGTACTGGCTCCGGTGAGGCTGGCCGTTGTGCTGGCTCCGGTGAGGCTGGCCGCTATACTGGCTCCGGTGAGGCTGGCCGCTGTATTGGCTCCGGTGAGGCTGGCCGCTGTACTGGCTCCGGTGAGGCTGGCCGCTGTATTGGCTCCGGTGAGGCTGGCCGCTGTACTGGCTCCGGTGAGGCTGGCCGCTGTATTGGCTCCGGTGAGGCTGGCCGCTGTACTGGCTCCGGTGAGGATGGCCGCCGTACTGTCTCCGGTGAGGCTGCCCGCTGTACTGGCTCCGGTGAGGCTGGCCGCTGTACTGGCTCCGGTGAGGATGGCCGCCGTACTGTCTCTGGTGAGGCTGGCCGCTGTACTGGCTCCGGTGAGGCTGGCCGCTGTACTGGCTCCGGTGAGGCTGGCCGCTGTGCTGGCTCCGGTGAGGCTGGCCGCTCTACTGGCTCCGGTGAGGCCAGCCGCTGTGCTGGTTTTGGTGAGGCCGGCCGCTGTGCTGGTCTGGAGAGAACGGCCATCAGGGGTCATGGTGGAGTCGGCCGCTGTGTGTGATGGGGCCAGCCGCTGCGATAGTGCTGCCGCGGCCGGCTGCCGCACGGACTCTGTTTCGGGGTTTTCCCGTCCGGCTGGCCGTGATGTGGTCGCGCCAAAGGACGTGCGGTCCTGAATGGGACTGAACACTAGATAATGCAAAATGCCAGTAATCAGTCGTGTCAGTTATTAGTGAATT